CTACAGATTTGAAGTTCTCTTATGCAGCTCCCTTTTGCCATCACACCAAATAACAACTCAAAAACTAAAGGCACACTGTGTTTATCCCTGAAGCGACATATGCGCGTCCTCTAAAAATGCAGGCTTATCCTCCCGCGGCGAGCACACAACACTCATGGCACCGTCACACTTCGCATGGCTCCGGGGAGTGCCTCAGGGGGAAGGGGGAGGCACGGGGCGCAGACTGTCCCTCGACGAGCGCCGCCGCGGGAAAGTTCTCTCCCGGACGCCAGCGCCGTTTCGTGGCTGTTTCCGTAAGCGGCGTTTGCAGAGACGGGCAAATTCGGGGAAGAAAGGGAAAGAATGAGGAAGATTGCGGGAAGAAGGGATGGAAAAGGAAGATGAAAAGGGGAGGGAGGGAGAGGGAGGGATTTGGGGTGGCAGGAACCTCACGTTTGTGAGATAAACGTGAACTGACTGACAGAGAGAAATATATACATAGATTAAAACGAGCGTCGAGTCCCGCCGGCAACATGGTCCTAACATTACTTTTCCTTTCCAGCACAAGACGAGCATCGTGAAGCCTGTCCTGGAGCCCAATGACTCAAGTGAGTATAAGAGTAAATTTCACCTCCTACGGCATACAGCTGTGACCTCGTGTCTTCAGCGTCGGCTATCATCATTGCTAACCCTTAAAAATCTGCATGTAAACCAAAGGGACTAAAATCTGATTCTCCAGGGGACGTCTGGGTGAAAATCAGTCGGCGTTCGGGATTGGTCTTTGGCGGACTTTTTGTTTCTGGGATTCAGTTGAGTGTGGATCAATCGGCCAATTCTTTATCAGGACCTTTATTAACAGGATAACAGATTTCATGTTCATATCTACTTCTTAAAGTTAATACCCCTTTGAATCGCTCTCTATGAGAGAGAGAGAGAGACAGACAGAGAGAGAGACAGACAGAGAGAGAGACAGACAGAGAGACAGAGAGAGTGTGAAAGAGAGAGAGAGCGAGAGAGAGAAAGAGAAAGAGAGAGAGTTTTCAGACGAGACTCGGCGCGAGAAGAGCTCCGCCGGGCCCGGTCCTTCCGGCACATGACTCTCTCGGAGAGCGCTGCCCTGTCTCGTATAACTTCGTATAATGTATGCTATACGAAGTTATTACGCTTTGAATCGCTCTCTAAGAGAGAGAGAGAGTCAGAGAAAGAGAGAGAGAAAGAGGGTGAGTGTTCAGACGAGGCTCGGCGCGAGAAGAGCTCCGCCGGACTCGGTCCTTCCGGCACATGACTCTCTCGGAGAGCGCTGCCCTGTCTCGTATAACTTCGTATAATGTATGCTATACGAAGTTATTACGATATCTACTTCTTAAAGTTCGTATAACTTCGTATAATGTATGCTATACGAAGTTATTACGCTTTGAATCGCTCTCTATGAGAGAGAGAGAGAAAAAAAAGAGGGAGAGAGAGAAAAAAAAGAGGGAGAGAGCGAAAAAAAAGAGGGAGAGAGAGAAAAAAAAGAGGGAGAGAGAGAGGGAAAGAGAGAGAGAGAGAGAGAGAAAGAGAGTGAGTTTTCAGACGAGACTCGGCGCGAGAAGAGCTCCGCCGGACCCGGTCCTTCCGGCACATGACTCTCTCGGAGAGCGCTGCCCTGTCCCGCGTGTGTCTCTGCGCCCTTATCCCTTCGGCCTTGATAATCCTGTTGTGTTGCCGATAGAATGTTCTGCCTTTCAAACGAGGAATTCAGATTAAATATGAACAGAAGTTAAAAGCAATGATGTCAGTGGTAATAACAATAACAAAACCAAGATTGCTGATAATAATGATGATAATAATAGTAATATTAAAGACTAATAATACCAATAATAATGATGATTATATTATTGGTTAATAATGACAATGATTATGATGATAAAATATATTGTAAAATATGCCTAACATTAATTATATACCGTCTGCTTCGCCTTGCTTCCTGCAGCGTAATTGCGTAGTGCATGCTACTGCACCGGATGCATTCTCTCCTGTAGAGTTTCTGAGGTCACTTGCACGTCTTAAGATCTGAAGTACAAGCGAAAGTATGAAGGTAGCTCTAATAAGTATTAGTGAAATGTGCACTCCGTAAAGTAGCCGCGCACTTCATCAGTCAGCGCTCGACCTCCGCACAGAATATGACTTCGGCCAGGGGAGGCTCGACTTTCAGCAGAGGACACAACAGCCTTCGGTTGGCATTTGCCTCTCGGCAGATGATGCAACACCTCAATGATTGGCAGTCGACCGCCCCAGATGGCACTAGAGCCACACCCGCGAGGCTTGTCCCTCAGCAGATGGTCTTTTGTCTCAGCAGATGGTCCTGTGCCTCGGCAGACGATGCTCCACCTTGGTTAATGGATGTGTAACGCGATCCCTCACAGCTTTCCCTGTTTGCGTTTGCGCCGCGGCTTCCCACACTTGTCTTGTCTCCCAAGAGACGACGGAGGCGACAACTGCGTGCTCTTCTTACGACGGCAGATGTGGGCCGGTTATGTTACTACTCAGACTTTTTTCTTTTTTCCCCTCTCGCAGCGGAGACCAGTAGTAAATCAAGGACGCTTTATAGCTCGCGGTTGATGACAGCTGTAATTTGAAGGAGAAATGTAACAATCTAAAAATTAAACAACCTCTAAATAATGCTGCCACGTCTCTCTCGCGTCTGTGAGGATCACGTCGACTGGGGTCTTGTTATCCCACTCCGAAGCGTCACCCAATCCTCCTTCATGAGCCTAAATGAAGTTATGTCTACCGGAAGTACTACAAAAGTGTTAAGAACGACACGCATTCGCATTGTTTTTTTTTCAGTCTTATGCACTATAGGACAATAAAGAACGTTGAAAGTTGAGTTTCATGGAGCTTAATAAGACCCCATTCACTTGTCACGAAGCATTTCCCACAAGTATCACATGTCGCATGAGCGTGTCTTTGTTTGTTTTGTGTATGGCACCGGTCCAAGGGACAGGAAGTGTGTGCGAGTTATTTTTCTGTAAAATTAAGTCTTTTATCAAGCGTTAATGTGTGCATGTTTTTTTTACAAGATATAAACAGTTCGCGGGTCCCTCTGCCAGAGTATGGCCAGAGGTTGGACTCCGGTCTCCCACTGAGATTGCCTCGATGGTGGGGACTCATTTGGATGAGGACTTCTTCGCCCGGTGCTAGGACGCCTTTTACTGAGATCTTGTTGCTTTTCAGGGATAGACCGATGGGAGGAAAAGTATAATTGGACTCGGAATGACAGCACAGCCTGTAAGTAGCGTGTCGAAGGTGTCGACCAGTGCCCTGTCTCACTGTTTCACTGCTGATGCACTTCTGGCCACTACTGCTGCAATTTCCGCACTGCTGTTGCTGCACAGTGACATCCCTCACTCATTTATTCATTACACTTTCAAATATTGTATGTTCTTCTCTTCTTTAATGTTGTATATGTAAATCGTTTGCAATGAACGAGTGAGAGATGTTCACTTCTGTGTTTATGTGTTTCTGTCTCACACAGGCTTTAGTGGTCCCGGGAATTCTTTGTTGGTGAAACTTGTCGGGTGTCTGTTAATTACCTCCGTTTTCTTTCCTTTCAGGTTCCTCTCTTATGTTTCGCCTCTAAGGCTGAAAGGATGCTCTATATTTGGTGTTTCAGTGTACTGTATGTTGTTCTTAAGGTGTTGGTGCCATGCTTGTCACTTCACAGTCGGTCTGCTCTTATTAATTGTGGGGTTTAGGTGTCCATAATAAGTATGATTTTCCGCAAGGCTGAAGATTCACGTAAAGATTCCACATCGAAACTCAGATCTTATCTAACCTGCTTTGAAAATCTTTTGGTTAAGGAATTTCAACTAATTTTGCCGTGACATATCAATTAACACCCTCCATTAGAGTATTTAACATACTATCATACTACTGATTATGTTGATTTTACCCCAGAGTTCAAACATGTCACATTTCTTTCTTTACCCAACTTTCTTGTCCTCTTTTCCCTAATCTCCCCTTGTATGTTTGTCTCAAGCATTATTGCAGATTCAGTGTCCAATTACTAAGTTGCATTATATCAATTAGGTCTAAACACGACTCCGGAATTTACCAAAATAACTGACGTTAGCATTAGATACATTATGCATTATCATAAGTTTGGTAGTTCAGTTCAGTGAATGCAACTTTGTAATTTGATCAGGAAAGATATTACGATGAAAAGATGTCTGGCCATTCTAAGCGCTTCCTCCTAACCTGCTTTACAGGATTACTTGAATACAACGTAACGGAAGCTTGGAGTAAGTACTTTTAGACATGTCTGTGTTATAATTGCTTGTTAGGTGTATTGTAGACGGTTCCTTTTGATACAGAGATTTGCATAGTGTGTAAACAGAAATTACCTTAAAGGTGTTTGGAATTTCTGAGGTTAGAGAATCCGTTACTCTCTAAAGTCACAGGAATGTAGTCATTTCTTACCCGTGACTGAGACTCCATTGTTTGCATTTGATTCACACTGGTATATTGGGTTCTCTTCCCTTGTCTTGCACCTCATGGAATGCAGCGTCTGTGAAGTCACTTCGCGTCACGTAAGCTGTGATTTCAAAAAAGGACTATATAGTGACACCTTTTATCTCTTTATAGCCTATGCACAGCACAACCTTTAGCACTTCACTACACAGTAATCGTCACACTGTTCATGTGGAACCCAGGTTGTTAGTAGAAGGCATTTTTGACCATCAGATTTCAATAAAGATATAAGGAACGACCTATGCAACTTTACTTTTTATACACAATGAGAAACAGTTATTTGAGCATCATAAAAAAAAATATATTAATTAGTATCCAATTAGTAACTTTAAGTCTTAAATTCTACACTCATTTGCAACATAACAAGGTCACGCAACCAAGAAAACACCATGCAACATCAGATGTTGTAGACGATATGGCCAGCATGCATGAAGACCTTATAAATGCAACTAGAAAATTTGTGATCCCCATATCCCCCGCTCTTTCCCCCCACTCTCTGCACTTCAACCCAAACAAGGGCCATTCTCCTGTCAGAACAAAGTGAATCTTCATCTAGTGTGCATGTACAGTGGAAAGCAGCTAAGCCACCCTCCCCCAACCCCTGTGCATCCTCCCAATCCAGAATGTTGTCCCCAGGCTCTAAAAGATGATGAGTGACATATTTAGGTCACCAGATGTGGAATGTTCAGCAGACCAGCTCTTAGAGAGTCCCTGCCGTCCCTCATAGATATAGCTGGCTGCAAGATGTCTAGCAGCATTTATTGTTTTGATATGGAGTTAGGAAGCTAGGTTAGTGTTAAGCAGATTTTTAGATAAATTAATGTAATATGATCATTTTTATCAATAGTTTGCAGTTTTCCCAATCCATCTTTTATCATGAGCAATATTGCATCTCATACTTAGCAAAGAGTCACCTTTTGATCACTGTAGGCATCTTCTGTTATCCTAGAATCACTGAATGAAGCTGCTCATGAGTGAACTTTTGGTATTTTATGCCATGGAATGTGTAGATAGGTTTCCATTCTTATTCCAATACCAGTACCAGTAACCAAGCCCTTTGCATGCTCATTCTGGCGACGGCCAATCTGTCTGGAATCCTTGGCGATCTTCTCCCTGACTCTCTTGCTCTCCCTCAGTGCTCCCCAAGGAGGAATGGGACATCAAGATGGAACACTCACGCGCCTTAAACATCATGGGCCTTGTGAGCTTTGCCACAGTGCTTGGTCTTGCACTCTCGAAGCTCGGCCCCAAGGGGAAGCCTCTTCTAGATGTTTTCCACTCACTCTCTGACGCCTCCATGGTCATCACCTCATGGCTTATTTGGTCAGTCAAAAAACCTGAATGAAATTACAATTTTATGTTATTTTGAATATTTATCAAATCATTCCTCAGTGATTTTCAAAAAGGAGTCTTATTTATCCTTCTTAAGTCACATAATATACAAAAGTAAATCAGATAATAAGAAACAAGTTAATACAATATGGGCCATTAAAAGTCATTGTTGAAGCAGTGTAAGACAGTATTTTCCCTTGGGTGAAGATTTTTAAAAACATATAAACTCATCTCCCACAGGATCTCACCTATCGGTATCCTCTTCCTCGTGGCTTCCATGATGATTGAGATGGAAGACTTCAGTGTCATGCTTGGTCAGCTTGGTCTCTACTTCGGAACAGTTGTCTTGGGTATCTTTATTCACGGCCTGATCATCCTGCCTACTATCTACACGCTGCTCACGAGACGGCTGCCCTTCCGCTTCTTGGCCAACATGACACAGGCTTACATCACAGCCTTTGCAACTGCTTCCAGGCAAGCAGGATAACCTCAAGAATATCTTTGCAAATATTGCTTTATTTTGTACATTTTTGTGTGACCAAAATTAATACATTTTCAAGTGATAAAGTTATTAATTAAATACAATTTTTATAAATGAAAATTCTACTTTAGTTCAGGAACCCTGCCTGTGACCTTCCAGTGTCTTGAGGAGAAGAACAAGATTGACACCCGTGTGACCCGATTTGTCATTCCCATTGGAGCCACCATCAATATGGATGGCACAGCCCTGTATGAGGCAGTGGCTGCCATTTTTATTGCACAAGTCAGAGGCATGGCACTCACAATTGGCCAGATTGTTGCTATCAGGTTGGAGAAAGTGTTTTTTCTTGTTGAAAACTTACATACTTGCAATATGAATTAGAACAACTTTCTTCAGTTTATTGATTTTGCTCTAATAGTAGGTAAAAGAACTGGTACAAAAAAAAGCCTTTAAAAAAATTGTTGTACAGATGATTTCATTTGATCTGTTTTCTCAACAGTATCACAGCCACTGCAGCAGCCATTGGAGCAGCTGGCATCCCACAGGCTGGTCTAGTTACCATGGTAATGGTGCTTGATGTTGTTGGTCTCCCAGCTGAAGACATCACTCTTATTATTGCTGTTGATTGGTTACTGTAAGTCCTTTTTTCATTATTCTTTCTTGCTTTGTTTTATGACATTCTGCATATAAGTATCAATAAAAATTGACGAAGGGAAATATAAAGTAGTGAATATGAGTTGTGGTTCTCAAGAGTGGTGATTTAATCTCTGGGGTAAAACTTCCAGAGCAGAAGGGTTGATTTCTCTTTTAATGTACGGAAAAGTATATATCTATTCTGCAATCACTGGCCAAATTGCTTTCACACCAAATAACTTATTTATCATTATTTAATTTAGTGAATTATGAAGGTTCCTAGTAATTGTATCAGTAGTAATTTTGCTTATTTATTGCACAACTGAACACTTTTCATATTTTTGTTTTGCTCAGGAAAATAGAGCAGTACTTTTGCACTTGCAACACTTTATTTTATGGTAATCACTAATTATAAAGGAATTATTATTTGCTTTTTCCTTTGCCTTAATGGTATTTAGTTTGTTTGTTTTTTCATATCTTGACTTATCTTAACCCGTGCACTCTGTTGGTTTAAAAAGCACACATTGCTTGTGTATGGGTCTCTCACCAACAAGCAGTAAATTTGTTGTCCTGAATGTCTCTTATCTAATTCAGTTTCTGCCTCTCTCTCTCTTTTTCTTCCCCCCTCACACACACACACAAACACACACACATTGCAATGTAATGGGGGGATTATCCCACCGTGATGCCACCAGTTGTAATATAATGCGAAGTGGATCCCACTGGCTGGCACCACTTGTAATGTAGTGGAGGTGGAATTCTCCCACTATTACTTGGTACGTGGTAGATGTATGGCTGAAGTGGTATGGCACTAGTAAGGAGCTGGTAAGTTCCTTGAAGGTGTTCTGGGGTTAAAGTTGTCGCTGGTTAACCCATTGGCGCTGGGTGTCACGTACGTACATGCCATGGCTGTTATGGACCAAACGCCGGGGGCATCATGCCATGCCCATTCCCGCGCTACTGGCTACTGGACGGAGGTAGTTTTTCTCCACTAGTAGTGGCTTCATTTATATGGTAAAGATTTTAGGCATTGGCACCTAAAGTGAAGGTAAACCTTCAAAATTTTAATATTTTTATAAATTTTAGAAAAATAAAAGATTTTACGTGCTATATGTCGCTCGCAAACTACCGATCGAGCCGGGCGCAAACAGGGGAAACTGCCAGTGCGCGCCAACAAGCCAGTGCATACGTAAACTTGACAAAATTTTTACCCGTCGCTGATGGGTTAATTACGGGTAACTGGTACAGATAGGCAAGGCAGGGACACCCAGGGAGGAGCGTGTCCTGCCAAGCCCGTGAGGGTGAGCAGTCTGTCTGTATGGCACAGGAATTGCCATGAACAAAGTTCGTTTTTCAACAATTCACAATGGGAAAAATGAAAGAATATGAATGAACAAAAATTCAGAAATATCGGTTCACATGACTGCTTCGTTCACATAAACTGGGTATGTTTTTACAATCCAAATATTGTGACTAGGGAACAAACTGGCTGACAGTTCATGAAAAATGGAACATTTTAATATCAATAATAAAAGTGGTTAAATTCATAGTAATTCAAAATATGCATTTTCTAAGAAACATTTTAAGTATAAACATGACATATTTATACTGAAGACATCAGAATAACAACATGGGAAATGTATATGAGCAATAAAGGTTGGATTAGTGTATTGTACGGTCACTCAGCTAATGTCACCTTGTTCGGGGCACAGGGCACTTTGGAATCTTGTGAAATAAACAGCACATGGCTTTTGTGGTCTGTGTCTGTCTGTCACTAGACACACATGTATATACAGATAAACACGCACACGCACACACACACACACACACACACACACACACACACACACACACACACACACACACACACACACACACACACACACACACACACACACACACACACACACACACACACAGATAAAGCAAGAGAAAGAGATGCAAAGATTGTCAAATATGAAATTATTCAAAGATGTTTGGTGTAAAATGTTTGAGGAATGACAGAGAGGGAGAGTGGGGTATGAGGACAAGTCACCCCATACCCTTCCTGGTGGAAGGGTATGGGTGAAGTAAAGGAATAGGGGATATAGAGGACGGAAGGGAAACCTGTGATGTTGAACCTGCCAATGATAGTTCCCCATCCTGGGTATGGGGCATATCTGGCTCATGTACGTGATTGGTGGAGGCAGGGGTGGGTGGGTGGGTGGAGCTTCAGAATCTCTAGGGAAGTATATGGAGTCTAAAAATAGATCCAATGCAACTAACTAAAATCAAATGGAATGTTGGCATCATTGTGTGTGTCGCTGACACTTCATTACACCAGTGTTGGTGTCACCTTATAAAACAGATCAAAATTCATAACGATCAGCGGTATTATTTTTTTTAAGAAGTGAAAGATATTCAATTACTATTTTACTGGCTTATAATCTTTAAAGTTCTTTTCTTTAACATGAAGTTTTATTAGTAGTTCTTCTGAAGTTTCATTGACAAGATTGCAAAATTCTCACAGAAAAGGAATATTTACAAATTTGAAACTCAAATGACTTATTTTCTATGCTTTGCAGAGACCGATTCCGTACCTTGATGAACGTTCTGGGAGACAGCATTGGTGCTGGAATTGTGTACGAATTAAGCAAGAAGGAACTGGAGAAAATGGGAAATGTTAATGCAAATGGAGATGTGGAAAGGCCATCCAACGAAATTGCTATGGATACAGTAGAGTCGAGCAAAATGTGAGATTTTGCAAATGCAAATGCCCAGTTAGATATAACATGTCCCAGCTCTGCCATTCCTCTCACCTCCAGGTCACAGGACAAGCCCTGTAGCCCACCAAAGGAGGCTACACAGAGCTAGACAAAATCAACATCTTCCCAACATGAAACACTTTTGTAGACTGGTGTTCCAAAGAAGGTGCACAATGACCCCAAAATACAAGAGAAGGTTCAGAGTGCCCTCTCTTGGCTCTCCACAAAATTCAGGTACCCTTTTTAGGGAGCCACACTTCATATTGTATAGTTGAGGTTTTGTAATATAAGAGGCAAAATGCCCTTGGGTTTATATCTG